AGTCTGGTCATCCACGTCCCAAACGCCTTCTTCCCTCCAGATGCAGCGTCGACCTCGCTGCCAAGCGCGTACTCCCTTAGGATCTACTGTCACAAGCTCATCGGGTCGTCCAAACACGTGTTGGTTTGCACCATTTGACCAGCGCTGAATGACCTGCCGATGGCCGTCAGCAAGGGCCATGCCTTCGAAAGGTGTGGGTGCTAGTTCGTACTTCAGCTCTCCGTGGTGATAATGCTTGTCTAAGTTCTTGAGTCCCAAGTACCCAGAAGAAGGTTCATTCATCGTTCCAAAGCCCACAACGTTTGTCAGTCCCTCCAGTGCTTCGGCCAGTTTTGCCATTGCATCCAAGTAGTGCGACTGCAGATACTCTTGTACTTGAACGCCATGGACCGTACACGAGGGCGCACATTTAGCACCTCCCCAAAAAAGTGAAAACATAGTAGCACACGCCATTTTGAAGTAGTTCGTCGGCCAAATCATCTTGGGAAACTTCTTTGCCTCTACGCCACACGTTTCAATACACAGCGCTGCTTTCGTGGCCTCAAAGTTGCGCGGCTCGAGTCCCACACTTTCCAATGTCCACATTGGCGCGCCATCGCCGCCCGTCCATCTCGACCACACGTCTTGGTGTGGATCAATGTAAACACTGAGGTCATAGTCGGCTGCAAGTTCAACGAGGTCACGCACGTAGCATAGAAACTCCTGGTCGTACACTCCTGGTCCGCCATGTTCGACTGCTTCCCACGTGACGACAAAGCGAAGGAGCGTCAAGCCCCAGCGCTGGAGTCTCGCAAAGTGCACAGGCGCTTCACTCAATGGGAACGGACGATTGACAAACGAGACGCTGCGTGCGCTGCTGAAGAAACGATCGCTGCTGCTGCAGTGACTGTTTGTGTGGCGGTAGTTGAACGGGAGCTTCGAAGAGCCGCCCAAGTTGACGCCGCGGAGAAGCCGGACGCGGCCTTGCGCATCGACAAAGTGGCCATTGCGAATCGACACGGCAGTTGCAGTCATGCTGGGCGACTCGAGCACCTGCAGCAGCAGCAGATCTACAGGACGTGACGGCGATCTGTGACGTGGTACGAGCACCTGCGACTGCTACTGGACAAGACGAAGAGTTTTAGCGAATCATGGACGAGGGATCTGCGCCACTTCAACAAGCGGACGCGGTGTGGGGTACATGACAAGTCAGAGGGATGCTGTGTCGTGGGATATTCTCGGTAGATTCCTACTATATCTTCGAGAGGGGGAAAGAAGGCGGAAAAGCTCAGCTGCGAGCTTCCTTCAGTCGTCAGCTGCGTGTCGGCTGTTCAGTCAGTTCGTTACAAGAGTGACAGAAACGTGGGAAAAGAATGCCACGTGCATCTCAAAAATGTACGAGACACTCAAAGAAGATGACGGTGAAGACATCGAATAAATGGGCGACGTCGGTGCTGTCAGCACGTACGTCGAGAAGATCAACCGTGCACTGCATCACACACGGACGCCCCACTGGACTGCAACAAGTCGTTGGCCATTTGCCGCTGTCTCGCGAGCGGCTCAGTGCGCTGCTAGTCGAAGTAGGACCATGTCTCTCATTTGCAGTAGGAGCCCAAACGGTCGACAAAGTGCCGAGGAAGTCGATTGCTGCAGCTAGCTAATTTCTTTGCGCACAGCTCTATTGTGCGCGAGATCAAGCAATGCACTGCGACTCTTTCTTTGTGCCGAGCGACACACGCCCACGTCTGTGTCCTCATGTAACAATAACAACGACAGCGACGACAGCAATGACACTAAAAAGGGAAAGAGAAGAAGGAGAGCTACGAATGCTGCGGCTGGCCATGGCCTCGCCCACAACCCTAGTGTCGTCTACGCGCGTCGTCTTGTCATCGTTGCACAATGGCGTCTGCCTCGTCCTTTTTCTCGTCCCGATCCAATGCGGCACGGGATAAGAATCGACTGCTGCTCACTGCTGCCGGATGGACCAGTTCGATGCTGTTGGGAATCCTCTTTCCCGTCATTCTCCTCTCTCCGGTCATACCACTCGACGCTTGACCCAATGACTCACGATATCCTCAACACAGCCTACCCCTATGTCCGCGCACGATCGCAGAGCCACCCGTTTTCTGCCCTCCCCTACCCGCCCTTCCCGCTCAGCCGGCACTCGGGTTGCTCAATGCTCGACGCGCCAGCAAAGCGACTTGGCTCGGTTCAAGTGACACGTGCTCCCGGGCCCCCTCATTGCGCAACCCAAGGACCACGCAATCGAACCACCGACAAACGAACAGACAAACGAACAGACAAACAAACAAACACGCAAAAAACACACAGACCGAATCTGGAGCCGTTGCCGCATCACGAACGCACTTGACCACGTCTCCATTCTTGTGGATTGAGTGACCCGAGGGCGACCTCTACGACTACACAACTAGTACCACCGCAACAACTACTGATACAACTACTGCTACAAGTGCTACGAAGTCTGGGACCGCCTCTACTTGTTGATTGACGGAGAGACTCTGTTTGCTGCACTGCTCTCGTTTGTCGAGTCGCTTTTGCGTCCGTCATGAGTGCCCCTGAGGAGTACCGGGGCCCAAAGTTCGTGGGTATCATGGGCCACGACAACGTGAGCCACAACGGGAGCAAGACGACGGTCTACTTCGTGCAGGTGCAAGTGCCCGATGGCGGCATGTTCATCGTGCGACACCGCTACCACGAGTTCAAAGACTTTCACGACAAGGTGAGGGCGACAAGTCTGGACGTCGAGGCTTTGTGTGGGGGCGCTGTGCTGGGGTCGTAGCGGGCTTTGCTGTCGTACTGTTGGGGTTGGTTGTGTACTGATTTATTGTTCGTTTTTTGTCTTCTTTTTGTTTCTTCTTTGTTCTTTTTGTATCTTGTTTCCTTTTTTTGCTTCTTTTTTCTTTCTTCGTGTGTGTTTCGGTAGATGTCAAGCGAAGGGTTCCGCTGTCCAGCGCTGCCACCGAAAAAGTTCTTGGGCAATAACAATAAGGAGTTTATTGAAAAACGACAGCAGGAGCTTGCGAATTGGCTACATCTGCTATGCCAATTCGATCCGGCGTCAGGGAACTCGGATCCTCGAACTTCCGAGCTTTTCAAGGAGTTCATGCTGACAAACGTACGCAAATTGTTCATCTTCCGTCTGTCTGTGAATCTGTCTGTCTGGTTGCTTGACGAGTCTCTGACATTGCGATTGGAACTGTGTATGCGCTGGCGGGACGCGTATTGTGTGTGTGTGTGATTTTTTTGTCACACGAGCAGAAAGAACCGCTGGAAAAGTACCAGGGCGCCACGGCCATGTCTTACGAAGCTACACCTCCGACGTCGCAGTCGTCGGATGCCGATAGTGAGACGGGGCTCTATAACACGCCCAAGACCACGCTGGACGACTTTGAGCTACTCAAGGTCATTGGCAAAGGCTCGTACGGCAAAGTCACGCTCGTGCGCAAGAAAGAGGGCAATCGCTTGTTTGCCATGAAGTCGCTGAACAAGTCGAACGTAAAGCGTCGCAACCAGGTGGAGCACACGCGCACAGAGCGACGTGTGCTGGGCCGTGCCAAGCACCCGTTCATTGTGCACCTGCACTACGCTTTCCAGACGTCGCAGAAACTCTACTTCGTGCTAGACTACTGTCCAGGTGGCGAGCTTTTCTTTCACCTGTCGCGAATGGAAAAGTTCACGCCAGCGATGGCGCTGTACTATTGCGCCGAGATCACACTGGCACTGGAGCATCTGCACGATTTAGGTGTTGTCTACCGGTGCGTAATGAATGCTGCTTGAAAGTGGATTGTTTGCCATGATGTTGAGCTGACGTGTGTCGTTCGTCTGTGGCTGTGTTACTACAGTGACCTCAAGCCCGAGAACATTCTGTTCGATCCTGTCGGTCACGTCTTGCTTGGTACGGGACGAACTCTAGAGAATTCGTTGCCCATGTGCTGATGACGTTGCTGTTTCGTTACCGTCGTTTCGTTGCTGCAGCCGACTTTGGACTTGCGAAGGAAGGCATCACGGATAGTGCTGAGGGCACCAACTCGATGTGTGGTACGCCCGAGTACTTGCCTCCCGAGATTTTGGACCGTGTGGGTCACGGCACGGCTGTGGACTGGTGGGCCATGGGCATGGTGCTGTACGAGATGCTCACGGGTTTGCCTCCTTGGTACACCCGCAACCGCCAGAAACTGTTTGACCGTGTGCGCAATGCTCCGTTGACGTTCCCCGACGAAGTTGACCCTGTCGCTTGCGACTTTATCGGCGGCTTGCTCCGACGCGACCCGAACAAGCGTCTAGGTAGCAAGAGTGCAGACGAGGTGAAGAATCACGCGTACTTCGCGGGTCTCAACTGGCAGGACCTTTACGATCGCAAGATCCCGCCTCCGTTTAACCCGTGCGCTAGCGCTGGCAATGCCGAGGAGACAAAGAACTTTGAGGCAGAATTCACCAAGATGCAGATCAACAGCGTGGAAAACTCGGCATTAGGCGGTTTGCGCGTGTCTGATGCGTCGCGTCCGTCCATGACGTTCCAGGGTTTTACGTACAACACGCCTAATGATCTGTCAATGAGTGGCTCTGTCGGTCGTGGTTAAGATGGCTACCCGTGTGAAATGGTTCGATTCGCCTCGTTGTTTCGGCATGTGGATGCATGACAATCTAAAAGTGGCTACCACGTGACGGCTGGAAGAAGGCAGAGAGAGGTGGTCACTGGAGGAATGCCTAGAAGCGAGCAGGGAAGGAGATTGGACGTTGCATGTGGGGGACTGAACTGCTGGAAGCAGAGCAGGCAGCATGTTGGTGTGATGAGTAGGAAAGGAAGAGGTTACATACAAAAGGGTGGGCGATGCAAGCTGACCGGCCGAACGAGCACAGACAAAGTCACGGGCGCATTTTCAGCGGAATGGTAGAAGGGTCGTCGTTGATGTGACTGTTTCTAGCCTGTATACCAAATGAACTCGAAGTTTGAAATCATGAAAAGTGTATCACACGCTTACGCTCATGCCGAGCTTACGCTACGTGTCAGCAGCATCACTTTTGTCCGCTGTGCCAGCGTTGTCATCGGTCGCATCATTGTCAGTCGTATCACCATTGTCGTTGCCGTTGGCAGTAGCTCGTAGAATTCGGTTATATCGCTTGAGATTACGGAATTTGTCCTTCAGATCGACGTTCGACCGATTCCGAAGCACGTCTGGAAATTTCGTCTTGATTAGCTTCCATACGCTTGAATACTTGTGGTACAGCCTGTAGCCTTCAATCAGCGCTTCCTCTTCTTCTGCAGACCAGCGTACTCGTTTGCGTCGACCAGTTGGACGGCCAGTCGCTCCAGAAGTAGTGACCACATTATCTTCACTTGAGACCTACATTGATTCAACGAGACCGATGGTTATACGTTTTCGGTGACCACCAGCAAGACTGAGCACCACTTCTTACCCTAGTACGAGCAGCAGCACAACGACCTTCTTGATGGCTCACCCTGGCAGCTTCTGCACTACGTGACGGTCTCGACGGCACAGGCCGCTCGGACGCCGGAGGTTCGTCCGAAACGTCAGAATGCACGACTTCTGCTTTCAGGTCATTCGCTGGAAGAGCACGAGCAAAACATTAGCTCTACCACTCCATGCGAACGTCTAACATACTTCTCAACAATCGTCATACGGGGGGATGAAGCGCGCGTTGGCCAGACCCAGTCCTGGACTTCAGTCGGCTCGGCAGGTTCAGCAGCTGCATTGTCTATGCTGACGGGTGCTCGTGTTTCTCGTGCTGGATCCTGCTCTTGCTCTTGCTCTTGCCCTTGCTCGTCATTCGAGATGGAAGTGATCTGTGACAGATCTCTCCATTCGCGTTGAGTGCCGCCAAACCTTCTTTCCAGCACAGACCGCGGTATAACTTTCCTGCGCAAATGTGATCACGACCGTCTTAGCAGCGCATCCGCACCGCAACAATCACTACTGTAGTTATACCTTGTGTCTCCAGCGATATCCGTAGGGAAAGCGAGCTCGAGTTTCGTCGGACCGAGTGCAGCAGATTCTATCACGCATAATGCACGCTTCATGTCACGCCGAAAAGCAGGGCCCTTGAGTCGGTGCGATTCATAGAACACATCCCAGCACTCCTACATACGCACAGCGACATACCAAGTTAGCCACTGCGATAACGACAACCCTTCCATCACCAGTTGCACAAACTTTTGGCTCGCCCTGCTCGAAAATTTTTTCAAACGTCTCGAGAAATGTCGTGAGCTCTTCGTTCTTACTGCCCCCACTGCACAAAAATGTGAGCGTGTCTCATTCGACCGCCAAGATCGCCAAACACAAACAATGACGTACACTCGTACTTTATCTCTAATCAGCACACACGTCTCGTAGATGCCGTCCACGTGGCACAACTCGTCACTCTCCAACTTAAACAACTCTGCATCAAGACCTTCATATGCTACTGCGAATCGCTGTACCACTAGCTGAAGCAACATACAACAACAGCAACAGAAACAACAACAAAAACAGACAATACAAACACATTATTGGTACCTTTCTACATCACCTACCACCCAAGTGAGAGTGGCTAGCTCACATGTAGAAACAGCGGCGATCGAAACAGCGCGAGGCTTGAGTCTGCGGACATCATGACGTGCAGCTGCAGCACCCGATCGAAGAGGAACACACTGTCCATTGGACTAGCGTCCAGTTCATGTCGGATTGCAGCCAACAGCGCTCTCCAACGGAACGGACTTGTCTCGGACAGTTTCACGCCCGTCTTGTGCAGGATCCCAGCAATGGCTACAGAAAGACACAGAGAGACGGGTTCACGACGTAGTCAGAACACATGCACACGCGTTGAGAAGAGAGGAATGTAACGGGAAATAAGTGCGTACCGTTGACGTCTTGGAGCGCACCAATGCGGCTCAGGAACTCGCCGCAGACTTCGAGTGCCGCGCGCATGTGCTGTCAAGTGAGATGAGCAAAACACGTACTTAGCAAGAAAAGCGTTTTTCGCTCTCCAGGGACGCATCACCAAAATAGGTCATTGCAAATGGGAGTGTATGTATTTTTGGTGTCGCCAGTCGATGTCGGTGGCAGCGTGTTGCTCCGAAGTAGCGATGACCTTGGTCAAACTCTCTCTACAATGAAATATAGTTATTGCGATCAGTGCGCGCACGGCCAACTAGCTCCGACGCATCGTGTTTGTTGAACAAACGTTGACCCGAAAAATGTACACAACAAAGCCAACGATCTCATACATACCCTTCTACCTCATCTTCACTCGGGTAAATGTGGCATCGACATCATTTTGTCGGTAAGTAAACGCTCGCAAGCGATCGAGATGGAGCACGCGCAACTGCCTGATCTAGTTGCTGTGATCTGTGCATCCTCCCTGCAGCTCTGGATGCAGTGGTACAATCCTGTCAAGTGTCTCTGCAGCTTCTCTGCACGTCTTCGTATTGTCACACGGGCATTCGCAATATGTCAAGCGTAGCTTCTGATCCTACACGGCACTGCATCGTACGTTATGGTCTTTTCCATCCTGAGCAAAGGCTTGAAGCTGCTTGTGGTTGCGTAATGATAGCGCGACGCTGCGTTTGTAGCCTCGAGACACCGAGGTCTTCCATCGCAATGTGTGCTGCTTTGCAGACTTATTGTCCATGCTCACGCGAAACGCATACTACAAAACGTGTCGAACTACCGATGGACGCTAACTTCCCTGCAGGCCTTTGGGTCGCTATCACCACCACATCGGTCATCCATTGGCGCGTTGACGCGTGCTGACGGTTCAGGTAGTCGCATTCTCTGGTATAACAAACGCATCGCGGTGCTGTTGGATGCCGAGAGAAAACTACAGCAATAAGCGCGTACGTCGACGTGATCATTGGCGTGCGATCACTTTAGGAAAGCAAGACATCGGCTATGTCTACCTGGTCCTTCAATACTAACTTCTGTGCCGCTTTTGTCCTAATGAGGAGACGATATTTTACGACATAAATTACGCACCGTCCAGCCGCGTGGACCAAAATAGTCGACAAATGATCGACCGTCGCTACCACCGCTCCTTGCAGGTGTTCTCATGGGCAGCATGTGCCGCCATGACGGCAAAGTTGGCGCTGTTTACCGACTATAGATCGCGGAGGGGTCACGGCCAGCACGAGCACGTCTTTTCGGGGGTACATGATCTGTCATGCGTGTATAACCTGCGAGCATAAGTAGACCTTACATGAGTAAACGTGTGTGTTTGGGCAGATCCAGAGGTACACAGATAAGCAACTGGACCGCTTCTTTGGCGTAGAGGACATCAAGAAGCAGGCTCAACTTCCGCCCGACCAGCAGTGTAGTGGTGACGCGGTCTCGTCCAGTCCTGATTCAGACAAGAAGGAATAGATGACCTCGTCTGGCGCTCGAGACCTTCTGGACGACACGTTTCTAATTGCAAGAATGCACCTTCCTATTGGGTCGCACCTGCAACTTTGTCTCCATCATTGGCCCGACAGTTGTTGCTCTCTCTTACGTCGCACCGCTTTCAACGCCTCAAGTCGTGATTGACGCGTTATCCGCTGGGCTTGTCCGGGGCGGCTGCAGTGGGCTTGAATACCGCAAACTGCGGGCGCGCGGGTTTGCGTTGAGTCATGGACGCACTCCGGTGCATGCCGTATATACCTGGACGTGCAGGAGGTGCCATCATGGCAGCCAACGGGTCCTTCTTCATCAGCACGCGAGCAGGGGGTGGCGCCATGAGTGCAGCGAGCGGGTCATTGGGCGCGGGACCACTGCTAATTGAGCCAGGGGCTGAGGCTGTGCCTGTCGGTGGTAAACCTGCGGCGCTGGATCCAGGTGCACTCCCTAGTCGCGGGGCAGTAGGTGGCGCAGAAGGCATTGCAGCTTCCTCAGGAGCAGTCTCGCCAGGAAACACCCAGCGCTTCGCATCTTCGTCGAAATAAGCCTCCATCTGCTCGCCGAGCTTGGCCACCTTGGCCTCTGGATTTATCTTGGTGGCAATGAATGATGACAAACCTGACAGCCATCCAGAGCCCTTGCCACTATTACTGTGTGGCGGCGTTTTGAAGCGCCCGGGTTTCTTCGTAGCGTCAGACATGGGGTCAGCTTTACCCTTATCACTCGCAGGCCCATTCATAGTAGCGGCATCCGTAAACGGAACTGGAGCAGTCAGATCGGCAGCAAATGTCTTGGGTTGGCTGGATGGGCACGTGTCATCCGACGTGTTCAGTGCAGACGGGTTCTGGAGCGCTAGGTGTGCAGGAGAGCCTTGCTGCGACTTCTGCGCGAAGGGAGGTTGCTGCCGAAGCGGAGGACAAGCAGGATTTGCCCTGTCGAGATTATCGCTGCTGCGTGTGCTATGGACGTCCCCAGAGGGCTCCCTCGAGTGCTGTGAATACACCAGTGGTGCCATTCCATGCGTCGGAGGTCCTTGCCCCTTGTTCGACAATGGCCCTGAGTTGCCGTAGTTCTCGGTCTTCGATAACGATCCCGACGCTGACCGCTGTTGTTGCTCATTGCCGATGGGTAGACCAGACGTAGAAGCAAAATTCCCGTTGCCCGATAACGGTGCTACTCCTGACCTCGAAGAGGGTTCTGCTGAACACGGTGCCGCGTAAGCTCTTGTGTATCCATTCGAGGATCCTGGAGCACTGTTTTGAGAAACGGGTGGGGTTGCATGGCCATACATGCCAGCAGGTGCCGCAGAGCCATACGAACCTTGCGGACGATTCGGTTGAGCAGACGGCTGTGGGTGTAGTGACGTAGGTGATGAGCTCACATCATTCACTGATGGAACACTCGGGTAGCTTGCTACAGGTGAAGAAGCTCCATTCACGAACACACCTCCAGATGTCGACGCACTAGCTACTGCGGCAGGTGCGATGTCTGATTCAGGACCCTCCACCACGCGATTCACGATCTTGCCCATCATACTCAAAGCACTGCCTAGACCCCACTTGCCCGCTTGCTTCGACCCCCCACTACGGCTAATCGATGCTGCCACTGAAGCCACACGACCTTGACCAAGGTGCTGGCGCAGCCGGTCGTCCAAAACAATCAGCTGATTCTTCATTCCTTCCAGGTAAACGGATGTGCCAGGCTTCATCGTTGCCGTCATACCTTTGATCACTGTGAGCATCGACGTTACGTACTTGAACGCCGTGTCGAGCTTTCCGTGATCCGCTAGCAGCATCGCGTATATAATCTTGTAGCCCTGGAATGGAACCATGACATTGGCCGACGCACCCTTCGCTTGCTTTTGGGCCCACTCATAAATTTCGGTACACTGCAAGGTGCCAGGCGACACATAAAACCGTGCTTCCGCTGGCGACCGGTGGTCTCCTCCCAGTAACGCCATTTTGGAGCTTGGTGTGGGCGCACCTAGCGGGATACTAGCAAGCAAGTAGCAAATGTGTGCTGCCGCGACTGCGTTGGCTTCGCTCCATAACCTGTCGCCCAGTTCGGTCAGAATCTTGTTAGTATCCGCAGTACGGTTGGACAGGAGAACTTGGGCGTGGGAGACCCAATTCGTGAGGATTAGAGATTCCGTCGACTGCTGGACATTCGTTTGTAACAAAGGCCTTGGCTCCTGTACACTTTTCTCCTGTTGATCTGCGAATGCCAAGAAAAGAGCACGGCACGGATCACCTGCTGCATAATGCTCATCCAGATACGTGCGCAAGACTTGCTGCGTTTGCCATAACACACAGGTAAGTCAGATCAGATCGTCAGCAAAAATGGCGGTTGCACGTACCTTGTACATCTCTTTGTCGATAAATGATGCGATAAGCATGGCTTCTGGCCACAAATGCGCAGTCATTGCAGAGGAGACTGCGCTCTTCCTATCGCCAGTCAAAAGCAGCTTGCGGAGGGCGTTCGTGTGTTTCAGCGTAACATCCGGGTGCTAACAAGACATATCCGCGTGAATATTCATGCAACAACGCACGCAGAACAAAGCACCTACTGTCTTGAGATGAGCCCCTTGGGGTGCGGGGAAAGATGGGTGTTTGAACCCGTTGCGCCGTTCACTGCTTTCGCTAAGCAGCGCTATCAGCTGAGCCTCAGGCTTATCGGGCGCGCCAAGATTGAGACTTCCTGGCTCAGAGCGCAACTTACCGTTGCATTTTATCAAGACACGCAGCACGCCAAGCAAAACTCGGTCGTCTTCGTCACCAGCCTCGACAGCATCCGTAGGGGCTCGATTTCGTTTCAGCCGGTCATCAAGACACCGCAATATGTCCTCGACAGGAACGTCTCCCGTCAACGGACCCGGAAATCTGTCCATTTGCTCAACCTCGACATCTTTTGGATGCAACTGGTTCATGCGATACAAGTTCACCGGTCCCATGCAACGTTTACTGTCACCTCCGTTGTCAAGCTCAGACGCCCTAGATGGACACGGTGTCAAAACGGGGACGTCAGAACAAGCCGCCAACGGTGTGTGCTACATCAACGCTCAGTCATACGTACATTGGTCCACCGCGAGGGCTGCCACAAAAGCTGCTTCCCGCAACATTCAAGCGCAATTTCCGCTTAGGGAACATGGTCACCATGTTACCACCAAAGCCAAATGCCACCAGACACGACGGCGGTGCGACGCACGGATCCTTGTATTTGTTGCTGGTTTTCACGGCAGCAGTCGGGGCGGCGGAAGTCGCTTGCTGATAGACATCGTTTCCTATGGCGTTCCCGTATTCGTGTTGACTCGCAGCATCATAGCCTGTCCCATGCGGTTGAGTTTGCATAACGCGACCCTGAGTATCGTATCCTGCGACGACATGACGCAGGTCGGGCAGCTGCTGTTGATGTGCTTGGTACTGCTGCTGCACATGACTATGGCTAGTCGCAGTACCAGCTTCTGGTACGCGTGACTTAAAGTAGCTGCCTGCTGGAGTTTCTCCAAACGCATGCCCACCCATCTCACCATGCGAGGAGTGTGAAGAGGAAGCTGCACTGTGGCGGATATGATCATGTTGCTTCCCAGACGTCTGGCCATATTTGTTGTGCTCGAATGGACTTGGCATCGGGGGAGTTGTCTGCGACGCTAGGGACGACGGCGCGACAGTGGACGATACCTCACCACCAAACGAGTGAGAACTCCAGTCAGATCGCGCATCGAGCGGCTGAGAGTATTTGACGTCTTCCTTCGTCACTGGTGACGCCATGTTGGTCATCAAGTCAGCACCCACCCTTGCCGTCGCTTGTACAGCCAGCGCTGGAAACGGTACCGTAGTTGCTGCAGGGTACGCACGATCGAATTCTTGTTCACTCGGTTGCGAGCACCCGCGCAGCTGCACGAGATCCTGCTGTGGCCGCGCAAACTCGTGCATCGCACGCGTACCATACTCGTTGAATGTGGACGATTGAGAAAACGGAGTCTGTTGGTCGGATGAGGCTTGAGATACCCTGCTGTCGATACGGAGTGACGCTGCTTCCGTGCTAGTCACAGAAGGCGCACCGCGAGCATATGAACGTGCATCAACAGAGGCCGGGGTGCTTTCATCCGACGTCTTTTGCTGAGGATGAAAGGACGCTTCGCCCTCGTATCGACTCAGGGAAGCACTGGATCCATGGCGCGACAAACTGGCATCCTCGACCGATCCGTAGGACGTGTCAACGTCACGTAATTGCATCGGAGGTCGCAACGCAGCCGAATGCATCGGAAAGCGCGAGTGTTGTGGTTCTGCAAGCAAAGGTGCATTGCTTCCACTTCGTACAAACGACTCCTGGATACGAGTGTGCACTAGCGACTGCTGCTGAGTTGACCCCGATGATGGAGTTCTCGCACGGTCATCGCCAGCATTGGACACAGACGACGGGTCAGCAGACGAATGCCCGAAAAACGCGTAAGTCGATGCGCTTGAAGTCGGTCGCGTATAGTCGCCGAAATCACCAGCTAGACCGAGAGCAGCGTCACTGTCATTATGCGCATATCTGTTGTCCCAATGTCCAGCATGCGACGACCGGGCCGGACTGGCACTGCTCAATGTTTCTGCCGCAGGACGAGGACTGTAACTGATTGAAGTCCCGGGAGTACGACTTAGCCCAACCTGTTGACTACCACGCGATATTGTAGGTCGGCTGGCGCTAGCGAATGTTGCCACTGCGGGTTTCTGGCTATGTGCGTTTTCCGGTGTCGATCGACTAGTGTGGACCTGTCCACCAACCCCACTGCCTTCAAAGTGGTCTGTGTTGCGGTCCATTGACGACTGATAACCAGGTTGTCCAAAGCCTTCGCTATAAGCAGTGGCACTCTCAGCCACTGCAACACCATCGCTCGGTGCATTAGGCCGGGCATCAATCGTGTTGGCTAGTGTACGAGCACTTTCGTCCACGGCCAACTGGTTTTCGTGCTTCGGTGCACCCACAGAAGCTTGATTCGAGTACGTTGCGGTAAAATGGTCGTAGCTCTGATCTCCACTGTGCGACGTGCTAGGTGCATTCGATTGCTGCCCGAATTGGCCAGCGACAGTCGTGGCATTTCTAGCCGGTTGGCTGTATGCAGCGTTTGCTGGGGTCTGCGCATCTCCACCGAAGCGTAATGAAACACCACGATCGAAACTCGAGCTGTGCTCATAGTCTCCGCCACTACAACTAAACAGGCTTTCGGCAGATGTTGCCGAGCTGTTATATCTATGCTGCACACTTCGCGATGCAAACGGGTCAATTCTGTTCTGATCGACGAAGCGTTGAGTGTCGAAAGGGCTCACAGAAACACCTCGATCATGTGTATCCACCGACGAGAACGGACTCTGCACAAAGTCGGCTGCCGACGTCTGGGTCTCGGTATCAGGATGGGCTCCGTTGCCCGCTTTATCGTAAGTCTGTTATACACAAAGATGCGAACCCAGTTAGAGACATAACTAATACACTGGCACCGGGCAACTACCAAGCGGAATCAGGCGTACCTGGTCGTACGACTGACTGGGAGCTGAATCGTGCAAATTTTGTGTCGGCTGAGCAAACGAGCTTTGATAGCCACTGGAAGAAGGGGCTGCACCAAAAAGGTCTACAGCGTCTGATGTCGGGAGTTCGTGCTCTTCAATGGGCGTCGATACAGCTACAGCAGATGGTGGGCCAAAAGAGCCGAACGGGTTTGGGACGTCAGCTCCAGCAGTAGTGCCAAACAGCGAAGCAGCACTCTGAATGCTTTCTTTCTGGACAACGCCTTCCGGTCGGTGGCCAAATCTTGAGTCTCCATAAGTAGTGGTAAGCGGAACATTCGTCGTGCGTTCTGAGGAGGAAAAAGCTCTTGGTGGGCTTGCGAACGGGTCCGTGCCAGCAGAAGCATCATTGCCTCCAGACATTGATGCTGCTGCAGTTGGTACAACTCCCCCAAACGTAGTGACGGACTCAGATTCTGGTGCAGAAGGTCCGAACGATCCCGGCATGCCGCGATGTTCGACTGCCCCGACGCTCGTGTAATCACCATTTGATCCACTGAACTCCGTCTCGAATCGCGAATTTGTACGCACAGATTCACACACGCTGGTAGTTTCGGATGCGTTGCCATCCGAAAATCCCCCGTCACTAGCGTTATCCGAGCCACCGATCGTCGTCCCAGGGGCCGAGAACTGCCCTTCACTTGCAGATGGGAAATCCGTGCCGAAAGCTGTGCTAGCATTGGATGAATTCACCATGCTTGCCGATTCCGAAATGGCTCCATCCGAGTAGGCACCACCCTCACTGACTCGTTCCGAACCGCCGAACGTCGCGCCCGCAGAAGAAACTCCGAAAGAAGCTATCGAACTTCCATCGCGATCCGTACTCGCGATCGATGACTGATACATGCGATGACTCGCAAAAGAAGACTGCGATCCGCCGTACAACGAAGAAGGTCGTCCCGTCGACATAAAGTACGATTTTTCACCCGAAAAGGACACGACAGAGTCCCGTTCTTCTTCGTCGCTTTGTCTGTTATGGATGTTGCGACGAGATCTGTCGTCATCTTCATGGGTATGTTCTCCAGAATATAGCCGGTCATGCCCGCCAGAATGTGAGTCCCATCGTACACTAGACTCGGTATGCGAGTCCGAGTTATCAGCCTTCCCCTCAGCAGCAAAGGTCGTTGAGTCATGAGCAGTCATGCGTGCGACATTTCCGGACAATTCATTCAAGAATGTCGAGCTGCCATTGCTTTGAGGCGAGGGCACACGTCCGAATGGCCCACCCGTACCGGTTGGGGTATGGAGAAACCGAGCACTACGCGGCGCTTCCGGAAAGACGTTGACGTCGTTGCCTTGGCTGGCCGATCCAGCAATTGCACCCGAAAACTGCGAGCGTTCGGGACGTGGCGAGGGTGTCGATTCCGCCACTTGGCTACGCTCCACCGATTGCGTAGCTACTGTTGACCTTTCAGCGTCAACGGATGTCGCTGAATCCGACTCGAACAGGTAAGGTATCGCGGGCGACTGAGTAATATCCGGCAAAGATTCCGCCATCTGGCTGGAAACGTCATTCTGTTCTGTATGCTTTGGCAATAATCGCTCTTGAGTGCTTCGGGCATCAGATGCAGGGCCGGACGAGGAAGGTTGCGGTTGACGCGAAAGCGAACCATCGGGTGAGGTAGGCGCAGTCAAATCCATACGGCTCATGTTGTCACAAGAGCGCGAAGCCGAATTCACCTGCGCGTTCGAATGATCTTCAATCGACCCATTCCATTCCTCGTCGACATGGTCGTCTTGAGCGAACAACTCGTCTTCATCACCATCTCCCCAGAACTCACCAGCAGCACCACCGGGACTAGTCAGCTCTACTGGAGGCGTCACATGTGTGCCTGTCCGAACCGTTGTCGCTGTCAAGGCAGCCGTCATACGGACAGGAGAAGAACTAGTCGCCACAACTGGCCTGGATCCGTCTTCCTTTTGCAGGCTTTTCCAACCATCGTCCCATTGCTCATCCTGCTGGCATGGCTCATGAGAAGCGGATGGTTCAGCGAAAGCGCTTGTCCGTGGGGGTCCTGTATAGCTCGAGCTTTCCAATCCACTAGGAGTTGTCGACACAGGCGGAGCAGGTGGTAATGGCTGCGCATAGACTGCGTGTGTTTGTGCGAGTGCTGGTTGCTGCGTACCACTGTGCCTCTTGGCGTCAAACGTGCTCTGCGGCCCTTCCGTGGAAAACGAACTTGCAGACTTCAGAGCACGCGGCGGCAAAGTCGCTACGTCAGTCTGTGCGCCTTGATACGGCGACTTTATCTCACTAGACGGATTGTGAGCGCGCGACACTTTGTCCGTACCGGAGCCATTAGGCGTCGATGCAGGCGCAACTTGATCGACGGACGATCCAAATGTCGTGTCGAAACGACCGGCAGCGTGCATTTCATCTACACCTGAGTGCCTTTCCATTGACGTCGCAACCGATGACGCGAGCGCATCGTCATCATCACACTGCGTTACGTGGTCATCTGCAACTGCTGCCGCTGCAGTCGCCGTTGGTTCTACTTCCGTCTCGTCTGTTGGGTCCAGAAGCACCACTGGAGGCAAGTCGCACTGCCACTCGTCGTCACTAAACAGCTCTTCTGCATCGTCCATCGAGAACAGCTGCGTCGGTCCTGCACTCGACTTAACCCCGACCGCACTTGCAGACGGCAATGCCGTGGTCCTTGCTGGAGTAACACGAGTAACGGTCGACCCCCCACTTGTCATGCTTATCGTGCTCGTCGACGAGCTCGTAAACGTAGTTGATCTCATCGCGCTCCCTCTGTTGCTAGTCGAGACGCTGAGCGACCCCAGAGCAGACGGGGAAGGCGACGGTGGTGCCGCTCGCTGGCTTCCTAATCCGCCAATCGGCGGTGGTCGCCATCCAGACGCCAACGACGTTGCGCCGTTGCCTGCTACAGACGCCGGCCGCGTTGTCGTCGCGCTCGTACTGCGAGCGCTGCTACTGCTACTGGTCGTGCGGTCCTGCGACGTCGTGTCGACGCCCAGCGACGCGAAGAAATCCTGAGGAGCGGCCGATTTCTGGCGCAGCCGGGTGTCGACGCGCAGGCGCTGATTACGCAATCCATCTCCTGCACGAGAGGCTCCGTCGAGCGTGGAGTCGGCGGCGGAGAAGAAGCCGCGGCCCCCGTCCATCGTCTCGCCGGGTCGCTCGTCTGGTACGTTGGATCTGGTTTGGTCTGTGAGGAGGGAACAAGGCGGGGTGGGTTTCCCCGACCATCACTCTGACTTGCGTGAAGTAAACAATACAGAGGGAGGGACAAGCGGCGGCTGGGGGACCTAAGTAACCGTGGCTGAAACAGAGCTCTGATTCGGTCGTGTACACTCGACCACCCTTTTGTATGGTGACTTTGAGCGGCCACGAGACCAAGGCGGCTGTATACTCGATTTTCCACCAATCCCGATCGATCTGCAAGCTGGGTAGATGGATAGACCGATTGATATTGTGCTGAGCGTACCCCCAGTGGACGTTGTCGTACGTCTCAATCCATCAAAAAAGGGGTACGAATGCTCGTAACGTGCATGTACAAAACAGACGCAATGATTTTGTATACCAGCTGCGATCGTGTAATGCAATGTGTTTCGTATACCAACTGGCACCTATCGTGTAATCCAGCGTGTTTCGTATACCAACTGGCAGCTATCGTGTACTGCAGTGTGTTTCGTATACCAACTAGCCATCGATCGATCGCGTAATGCAGCGTGTTTCGTATACCCCGCAGTTCTGTGACTAGTAGTACGTAACTGGAGCAAATCCGCTTGCGTCAGAAGTCCAGCTGCCGCCGGACTACCGGTGCCCCACCGGTCGCTCCCTGAGCCGTGTGGTGCCGCGAGCAAAAGAACGCGTCGATCAGGCGACCGCACTTTGGAAGACACCGGCACCACGGAAACATGCCCGTGGAAGTGCAGCGCAAGCTCACCGTGTTGGGGTACCCCGGCGTCGGCAAGTCGTCTCTGACCACGTGTTTCGTCGAGAACCGCTTCGTGGAGAACTACGACCCGACGATCGAAAACACGTTCCACAAGACCATCCGCGTGCGCAACGCGCACTTTGTCACGGACATTGTGGACACGGCAGGAATGGTACGACGCGTTGCTCGACTCGCGTCCCTGTTCAGGCGGTGATGATGATGCTGACGACCGTTTTCTGTGTGCGGTGCGGCAGGACGAATACGCCAACTTTTCGCAGGCGGCGTCTGTTGGCGTCCACGGTTACGTGCTCGTGTACTCGATTGGCTTGCGCACGTCGTTCGAGAAGCTCAAGCTGATCAATGAGAAGCTAGTCAACATGCTCGGGTCGAGGCCGCCACGCGTGCTCGTTGGTAGCATGTCGGATCTAGAAAAGGCCAGGTACGTTGGTGGAAGAGGGTCGGGGGCGGGAAGGGGTCGCAGGAGTTAGGAAGAGTCGGGTCTGACGTCCACTTTTGTGTCTTGTTGCTGTGCAGAGAGGTGTCGGTAGAAGAAGGACAGATGCTGGCGAGCAATTGGGAGTGTCCGTTTGTCGAGTGCTCGGCTAAGGACAACGAGAATATTAGTAGGTGGCACTGTGTTTTTGCTGTATTTGTGTATGTGTGCTGTTGACGGTCGGCTGTGGTCATGTAACGGCACGTCGCGTTGATGTGCAGACGAGGTGTTTACGTATCTAATCAAGGAGATCGAGCGCGATTCCGGGTTGCTGGAGGAGACGGACGATTCGCAGTGTGCGATTTTGTAGCTCAGGAACACTGGTGTACGCAGCGCAGGCTGCGGGTGTGGAGACTTTGCTGCATGGTACAGATCGATTATGTAGACATTGATGTTTGTTGCAGGACAGAGGTGTGGAAATGAGGATAAAAAGGAAGAAATGTGAGAGAGTATGAAGTATAGTCGGTTGAAGCAGTCACTGCACTGACAAGGCGGTCGCGACTTGGCAGCCTGCTTTAATGTGCGCCTACGCTTCCAAGCATACTCGTCATTACGCACATTGCGTGCACTTCACGCGAGCCCACATACGGCTGTTGACGGCTCATCCGGACCCGCTCTCCCTTCGTCTAGCGTTGCTTTGCTTTGCTGTCTTTCCCTATCGTCGACATCGCGACGTTATTCGGGTATAATAGGCTACTAGGTTGGGAGGCCTGGTTCTAGGCATCCTTCTGCCGATACAGCTGTCCTGGAAAGACTGGAAGCAATGTTCGGAACATGCCGAGTTGTAGCTGTTGTTCAGAAGTAGCTCGCACTGATGAACTCGTTTCCAAGCTGATCGCTAGAGAATTCATCTAAGTGTTTGCCGCACCACCTTACGATCGCCTCTTACCCCATCGTGCGATTGGCCTCGAAGTAATGCTGTCTTTACGGCAAGAGCAAAGTCCTTGGTCTTCGTGCTTTCTAGTACGACCAAGCTGTTTTCATCTGACACGCATGTGTTTGCACATGACACTCCATGACTCTCATTTGCACAAAGATTCGCGTTCGAGTTCTTGTTTGTTTGTTGATATCCTGAAACCGGGAAGACAACATTGGATTGAGAGTCAACTTATGGAAAATAAACTAGAAGTACCACAAGATTAGAGATAAAAATAAATCACAGGAGCGCAGAAATAAAGTATGTACCACATGAGATAAAATGCAACAAGCTGCATACTTGGCGTACGAGCATACGCTTTTATGGGTACATGCTGTTCGAATGTAAGAGCTCAGTGGTGTAAGGGATTCTATTTCAACGTTTGCCTACCCTCAGTCGCACGGCCTCACTCGGTCGAATGTTTCATATTGTCTTCATCCTGTGAGCTTCCTTACCAACCGATCGGTTCGTGGCAGTCGCAGCATTTCGTCTAGCCAAAAATCAGAAGGACCTGTGTCGTCAGCCTCCTTTTGCACGTTCTCTCGTCCAAGTGCAAATCATCTTTAGCAAATGCACGACACCTTTCACGTAGTTTCTCCAACCGCTCACCCGGTCAGTAGCTTCGCGAATGTGTCGTCTCAACAACGACCGGCTAAACTGCGATACCAAGCAGATCAAACGGCTGCCTGCTTAAACGAGTCACCAGCTGGTGGGAGGAGGCCGAATCCCTACAATCGTATGAGACGAGGCAGCGCCGTGTTCAAATGGCGCGGAAATAGTGCTCTATAAGGTACTATAGGTGCGCCACGAGACAGCATGTATCGACGTGCAGACAAGCAATGAGACAAATGGTGAAGAGTCGACGGAATCTCAGGATTTCCTGTGAACAAAATAAAAGCAGAATGCTGATAAGGTGTCATGGTCGTCACATATAAGACGACGTGAACGGTGGTAGTGAAGCCGGCATCAAAATGGGTATTGCGCTATGGGTGCTGCGAAGATAGACTCTATATCTCGTATCTGCACTGGTGTTTATACGCAGAAAATCATCACAGCTCGTCCCTTTTATCATCAATATACGCGTAGCACAGTCTGTGTAACGGGGCACACCCTTGCGTAACTTAACGCAAGGGTTTTGG